AAAGTTGCAAAAATTCAAGAAAAGTTGTAAATCAATTTTCAGGATTCAGGCTATCTCAAGCCATTCTAAGCATCCCAATCGCTTCCTGGATATCCCTGGATCACATTGCAACCATTAGCAAGCTTCCTCAAGCCTTGAAACACGCTTTGGTCAGCATGTAGCGTGAGAATGCCTAAGGGCTTGGGTTCGATCCCCAGGTCCTAACTTTGCTTCCTATTATTTTTTTCTTGCATAATCAGGTACACATGTATACAAGGCATCCACCATACATCATCAATATCCCACCATCAGATCATCAAGGCTTCAGATCCAACGCCTTCTCCCTAAAGGACTACCATGCGTTTGAGTCAAGTTGACATACAGAATCTGGGAAAGTCAAACAGGCCATGAGTTATTGGGCTCAGAATTGCAATTGACACCCCCTCTTGCTAAGAAACCAGGCCAATTTTCTTTTTCTTTTCTATTTTTTCCTTTTATTTAATTTCTTTTATTTAATTATTTTATAACACAATTAATTTCTTTTTTTCATAAAATTATAAAATCAAATTTTACAAATTTAGAATTAGGTTTTTTTATTTATTTTATTTTATCAAATTTAATTTAACATTAGTTTAAATTTAATTTAGGAGTAATTTTAACTTTTTGTAAATAATTAAAATCAATTAGAGAAAATTAGGGTTTGCTTTTGACTTAATTTTTTATTTCTTTCATAAAATAACAAAAATACAAAAATAGGTTAATTTAATTATTTCTTAATTTAAATTAATTAGTAATTAGGTTTTTTTTATTTATTCAATTAAACCTTATTTTCTTAAAATAATCAAAAACAACACAAAAAAATGATTTTCCTTTTAATTAGGCTTAGTCGGGGTCAAAACCCTAAATCTCTCGTTTTCGATTCATCGCGCGCGCTTTATTATTTTTGCAATATTAATGTAACTGTTCACGGTATGTAATAGTTTAATTAGGGTTTTCTTTATTTATCGTTTTACGGGTTTTTTGGCTATGTAATTAATCCCTACCCCCGAAGCCTTGTAATAGCGTAGTTTTTATTTCTCGCGTTTTAATTCTTGCAAATATTAACTGTTAGATGTATGTTAATAGGATTGTATGACAAGATTGTATGATAATCTTTAAAATGGTTAGTAAACCCTAATGTGCAAAGATAATAACTTGAAATCAAATCACTCGCACATGCGCACCCCTAGGGTATACTCTCACTTCGGTTGCCTTCGGTAAACGATCATTAAGTATAAGGTGTTTTAGTAGTGTCCCTTCTGTCTAAACAAAGATCAAAAGTCCCGTTCGGAAATGTTGCCTCGGAAATGTTGCCTCGAATATGATCTTAAGACATTAGGGTTATTACTAAGACGTCCTAACATTGCTTTAGTGATCGTACGTCCCTTTCGAATTGACCCTTACAAACTCCAACGATGATGCTACCTATTTCTCAATAGTAGGATAGCATTGTCTAAAGGAAACAAGAATAGAAACAATCCTTTTTCGAGTAGGTAGATGCTAGTGGGTACTTGCTCAAAATCAAACTTTTCACACTTACACTTTTCAAACCAAGTTTTCAAAAACAACTTCGTAACACTCTTGAAGACAGAAGCAAGGGTTAAAACGAAGTAAAACAAAAACTTTTCAAAACAAACACACACAAGCAATTTTAAAAGATGAGCAAGTACCTAAGAGCCCATGGAAAACCATGGATAGAAAGGGTGCTAATACCTTCCCTTTCTATAATCTACCCCTCGTACTCAAAATCTCGAAAAAGGAATTTTTCTGTGCTTTTTTCCTTTCCAGTTGGATAAAATAAAAGTCGGCGGCGACTCTTGCTTACCGCGACATTTTGCGAATAAAAACGCAAACCAGCATTTTCCTAAATAGTCAGTTCTGCCACCATATCACACTGCCCCAGCGGTAGAAGTGCGTGCGAAAAGGCATTAATGTCAAAGGGTCTGGGTTCGATCTAACCTTTTGACACTTTGTTTTTCTAATATTTCATATTTTTGCAGGTTTGTTATAAAACACATTGGAGGTGTATCCTAACACTAAGGCGCGCTTGGCCTGGTTGTATGCTTGCTGCGTGAGAATACTTGAGGGCGTGGGTTTGACACCCACCCTACTCTTTTGGTCATTCTATGTTTATCACTCTTTTTCACCCTTTTTCTTTAAAACCTTTTTTTTTCAAAAAACGTTTTTAACAAAACCCTAATTTAATTTTAGGCTTTAAATTTAATTTTAGGTTTTATTTAATTAAACCAAATTTATTTAGGTTTTATTTAATTTGATTTTTTATATTTTCTCGATTAAATTAAAATCAACTTAAATTCTAGGGTTTCGATTAATTTAATTACCTAACTTTTTTTATTAATTAAAATCAATTAGAATTTAGGATGATTATCAAAACTTTTTCGTCATGCAATCACCAAAACAATTTTTCCATTTTCTCTTTTATAATCTTCGTGTGCTTTACTATTTTCACATTAGTTTTTTCGATTATGTGACTGCTACAATATGTAATAGTTTTAATTAAGGTTTACTTATTCTACCGATTTTATGGTTTGTACCCCCTTCCCCGAAGTCCCGTAATAGTTTAGATTTACTTTCCGCACCTTTACTTTCCGCAATTTACCATTTTCCTTATAACTGCTAGTAATTAGCATGTATGGCAAGATCTAAAACAAAACGCTAGATAACCCTAATCAAGATCAAATAACTGAATTGATTCACTTTTCACACAATCACCTATAGGGTAACCTCACTCATTGCCTCGGAAAATAGTCATGTCCCTCGAACGTGGGGATGCTTTAGCAAAGACCCTCGGTTGAAAAGATCATAGTCCCTCGATGACCCTTTCGATGTTGCCTTCAGTAAACGATCTAGTCCCTTAAACGATAATTGCTAAAGTGTTTTTACGAGTTGCCTTCAATGACTGTACGATGACTCATGTTTATCCCTTCACATCCAACGATAGGGATTCCTACTAACTAATGGCAGGATAACACTATCTAAAGGAGGAGGAAAATAACATGAAAGACTTTTGAGTAGGTAGATAAGTTCTTAATCGCCCGCTCACAAACAAAACCAATATTTTTCACACAAAACACTTTTTTGAAATATTTTCAAAAACAAACACTTTGTACGCATTCTTAACTTATACAAGAATCATTACAAAGTTGCCGCACTTAGACATTTTTTTCAAAATATTTTCAAACACATACACAAAGCATTTCTAAAGTGAGCTAGCGATTAAGAGCCCGTAGATAACTACGGATGAAAAGGGTTCTAACACCTTCCCTTTTCATAACCTACCCCCCGAATTCAAGAAAATCTCAAAGGTCTTTCGTGTTCTTTTAACTCTTTCCTTATTAGATAAAAGAAAAGTTGGTGGCGACTCTTTCTATCTGCAACATTTGCGATAAAATGCAAAACCAAGTCAGTTATTCCACCGTATTATAAACGCCATCGTTATTTACAATCCTCCACCTTTTTCCTAGATCACTGATGTGAGTTCTCGTAAAGTTAGGATGTATCTCTACAACGACTACAAATCATATGAAAGATGGATAGTTAACATTCAAAGTTATTCATATATATTAACTTTAACATCAAAACTTTTCAAATATAATATATGTAAACAACCCATACTTAGATGCCTAGCTTTGAAATTGCTAAGGTGTCAACAAGCTCTGATAGAACTACTTTTGCACTATTGCCCATTGGAAAATTAAGTCAACCGTTGCAACACTTGAGGTGTTATTGTTTTTCCAGATCTAGATCTACACTTATGGAATGTGTATTTGGTTGTTACCTCTTTTAATTCATGTGTGTACACTTGAGGTGCAAACCTTTATCACACCAAACAATATTTTGTATTTTAATGCCACGTTTATTATTCCATTGGTCCTTTTCCCATTATTCATGCATGTGTAAAGGTAGGCTGCGTGCAGTTTTATTACATTATATGCCAAACAACATTATAAAAGTGTTAAAATGGTTCCACTTTAATGTTATACCACTTGACTGATACCACACACATCACATATTATAATAACCTTCATTTTCAAACTTTTTAAATATTATACTAAACCACTGTAATTATCGCCTGGTATTACACGTTTTCTGACTTTAATATGGATAATAAACTCCCTAACTTTGCACTCTCTTAATCATAAAACATGATGCATCCTAATCATAAAACATGACGCATATGACATCCACACTAGTTTCAAGCCAATTAGTTAGTATATCCAAAATAACCATACTAATTACTTAAGAACAAAATACATTCAATTTTACATAAAATACCTATATTGGCCATTACAATATGTCCTACATAACTTCTACCATATCCAAAATTACAACCATGTGATAACTTCCATTTCCATTTGTGCTACTAATATTGTCTAACTTACACCATTGCAACAACACCTTAAGTTCAACTTCTATATAGGATTTAAACACAACATCATATAACATACACCATAAGCATGACTGCTAAAAGGTCTTCTTCTATTACAATAACATCTTATAGACAAAACAACCATCACTCTTCAAGTTTTCTCCAAAACGGACCATAATAACAACTCACCTTCCATATCCTCAACGACCCTTGCAACGTTCTATGAAAACTTTAATTTCATCCACCGGCAGATAGCGAATGCTGAAATGTAACTTGTCTCCTTCCTTTAAAAGTCTGTCACTGGAAAAGTTGTACCACTCTCCTAACAAGTACTTCTCTGGGACCAATGGAATCTTCTTCAAGTAGCAGTAATATGGGACACCTTTGTCGGCATCCCAAAGCACAATGTTTTACATTCTACCACTGAGACATTTCTTAATTACCCCTGAGGTATTTGCTACACATGTTAATATCCATATCAGTTACAAATATATATTAGGAGCTATATATTTTTCTATAAACGGATGGCTACGAGACTTACAAGCACGTTGTTCCTCATCTTCTTGGCATCTGTGACCACCCTAGTCCATTTCTATTCAAACTCTTCCTTATTGATGGGAGTAAAGGTCCTGCATGTTTGCACACAATCAGAAGATCATTCTAAATAAAACTTAGTAACTTGACAAACATTGATAATTCCTACCCTAACTATTCAGGTTACAGAATAATCAAAGAACCACTACCTCTCACTATCCGATGATATGGTTATGTATTCATGATGAGAACTCCCTTTCACTTCAGCAGCACATCCTGGACCATTTGCTAATACCTTGCCTTTCCCACCGCTTGGCCCTGCTTCAACACCGTACTGTCCTTCACATTTTTTCCTCTTCCCATTTTCAGGCGCTACAGAAGACTTCTTCTTCCCGTAATATGCCTCACGATCAACTGAAATCTTTGTGTTACCCTTATCACCCTTTGTTCCAGCCTCAACACCATTATCAACCTCCTTTGTCATTCCCTTCCAATTATTATGAACTAAACAAGCATTCATCAAGTCGTTACAAGCAGAACGACCAGCCGTGATGTTAGCCTTGCCTAAATCACCACTTGGTATCGCGCCAACACCATAAACATCTTTTTTGTCTTCCTGTTGCCATAGCCCGACACTGCAACTGCCTTGTTGTTGCCGTAACTTGCGTCACGACGGACTGTAAAGTCGCCCTTGCCTTTTTCAACCTTTCTCCCTGCGTCAACTGTCATCTTCGCCTTGCCTTTTCCAAGCCCTGCTCCTGCGCCAACACCTTACCACTTTTAGTAGTCCCATTCACTTTTTCAGGCAGCACAACACCCTTAACATTGAGGTCACTTGCGTCACGACCAACCGTCATGTTGGGGTTGCCTTTTTCAACCTTTGACCATGTGTCAACACCGTAACCAACTTCACCTGTCTTCCTCTTTAGTGTAGAAACCAAATCACCAGGTTTGCTATTGCAGTGGGATGGATCCTGACCAACTGTCAGCTTTGTTTTCAAATGGTTCACAGATTTCCACTCTTGGTAAGCCAAATATGACATGTAGTTCCACGTGCGTTTCCTGTACAGCTCTTGTCCTTCAAGAAGACTGCAAAACAAAGTATAGATTGTCACAATGTTGGATTAAGTGTATGAGAACATCGTGCAAAACAAAATTAACCCTAACTCAAACGATGAAATTAACATAATGTTTCAGACTAACATAACAACATTTCTATAAGTTTAACACCACCCTGAACCTACGGCGGTTTCAAACAAAGTTGATCAATGGCGATCAACTCGCATTCATGTGTTTCTTACGATGAAATTTGTACCACAAATGTACCAACCCCACACCACTGTAACCAACGTTAAACAATACACTCTTACCTTGATTCATAATCTACGATGCTTGGTGATGTCTTGGACTTCGACTCTCCTTCCATTGTTGTTGAGCGGCGACAGCTGTTGTAGATTCACTGTTTAATGTTTTTTGCAGATACGAATTTTGTGTGTGGAAAATGAAAGGATGGCAAAAATATGACAATACTACCTTAGATATTTACATTCAATATGTCTCTACTACTTTATTTAGTTTTAATACCCAATTAGGCGAAGTTTTTTTTTATTGTCAAATTTTAATATTCACTTATTTTTATCATTAACTATTCTTTACAAATTGTTTTTCTAATATTTTAAAATACTAACCTACCATTTCAACTAATGATTATTATCATTTACTAATTAACAATTCAAACTTATCTTTTACTCTTATTATTATTTTCTTATGTAGTATACAACTCATGTTTATTACTATATTTCTAATATATAAAACTGTTGAAGTTTTTACATAAAATAAATTTTATTTTTAAATAAATATTAAATCTGGCTGATATATCCGATCTATCTCAAACTAATATCTGTGCAAACACATGTGTATCCCGTTAGTTTGAAAGTTAAAAAGTAAGGTGATTGGATCTCCCATCATTTATGTAGTTTATTTATAATAGAAATACAAATAAATCATTCTCTCTCTGGAATAGTACAAGTTGAATTTTGAGAATGAAAATATTTAGCAACTTGTAAAAAAATATATAGTTCCTCTATGGTGTCTTTAATTTTAGTGTATCTACTCTTCAAAAGAAAGAAATTTGTTTTTTCCAATAAAATCCATCGATTTGGAAGCTCAAACAGGAAAGAGGCATCCATTTTAATTTCTAAACATTTGCTGAAAATAGTAGGGAAATGGAAGCTTGACAGAAATATTAAATACATATAATAAAATACAATTGAGTGAAAATTCAATCGACCCACACACTGATAAAATTGACAATTTCTGCTAGTTAACTAAAATTATGTAACCAAGTAATTAATATTTTGAATTCTAACATAACAGAACTAAATACTTAACTTGAGACAACACAAATAGGAGTGCATGGCCAATTGAGTGTATCAGACGCAAAATCTAAAACCTACTAGAGTGCGAACCATTAGAGCTGGATAGTGAAGCAACAGAAGTTGATTGTAGCTGACTTAACTCAGCTTGTTCCTTCAACAACTCGTTGAACTCCGTTATTTGCTCCTTCAGCCGCAACCTCAAATAATAAGCCTTGAAAAATTCTTGATTTTCCTCTTCAAGCTTTTGCCAAACTAAAGCATCATTACACATGTACATGTTAGAAAGAGAAAACTAAATCATGGCTGACAAGTTTTAGGAATTTAGATCACATCTCAATAACAGAGAATTCCGTCATAGATACAATACTTTCCATAACATATGTAGAGGAAAAGAAAGATTATATCAACTCCAATTTTCATAAGGCAGTAAAGCAGAAAAACATAGTACTGAACAAAAGTTCCTACCAAGTTGGGTAAAATCAGGCTCAATTTTTGCTTGAACTAGTAGATTTTCCGCAACTTCTTTTGGATTCATATATGATTGCAGACATAGTTCTATGAGATTTTGTATCTGGAATAAACACCATTACCAGTGTCAGATGAAAATGAGAGTAGAGTGAAAGGAGATTTTAGATCAAAGGGGAAAGATAAAAATAGAGGATCAACATAAGTGATTAGTAATAATGTAAAATCAAAGTAGACAAGCAATAGTCCTTAAATACAAGACATATTGTAAAACAATATTAGTATCGGTTAATATATTAACTGGATTGTATTTAAAGGAATCTTTCCTAGTAGTCCTTTTATGTTGATTCTATTTCCTAACCTTTAGGGATTGTCTAGGTTTGCTTCATGTGTTGTATACTGGTCTCTCTTTGATAAATTGAATAAAAGTTACGATAAAGTTTCAAATGACCTTGAAATTTCTCAATCCTACAAAACCTCTTACTAAAGGGTTTTAAGATAGTAAAATTCTCCCCGCTTTACCTTCATCCCGCCATAGAAAACGATTGTATATTTATTGCATTTCATTAAGGTTATTCCTTCTATACGAATTCAAGAAATGATTTCATGTTCTCCTTTTCCCTGTTAAATTAACAATAGTATAAAGTAAATAAAATTGTATATTCAAGTATTCATTTTTATTTATGAAACCCAAAACTGAATAAACTTACGGCCATAATATTTTCCCGAGAAAGCCGTCTCATAGATCCACTTGACATGTCTGAAATTCCCAAATGCATTATGCATAATAAACATAAAGAATAATAAAAAACCATTGACTAGTAAGTTTTTAAGCCATAAAAATTGAAATTAACAAGACACAAAGAAAGAGTGCAGTTTTACTCCCCCACGTGAGAAAAGTGTAAACCATCCATTAACATTTTGATCCAGAGAAATTTGACAACAATTTACAAACAATCATGAAATATCACATTGAAATCAAAATTCTAACATCTTTACTAAATAGCTTCCAGTGCTAAACCTACTTTCAGTTTGATACACTGATTACAAATCTTAAATTTTCTTATGTGATCCTCATCTAATACAATATTCTCATTTTTTTAAAATTTACGCACTATATTGCCCAACATTGTCAATCTTAATAGTTGTTCAATAAATTTTCTTGTAAACTTAAGAAGAACTATCTATCCTATTCCCCATCTCGTTCACCTAGCTGGAATCTTATGATTTGCACCTCCTCCTTTTTCTTTATTGCTTTGCATCCAAGACACCTAAAACCTCTTTCCATAAGTCTGGTCTTGTAACAAAATCACTCATCAAAAGGATTTATAAAAGAAACAAAAAGACTTGGAACAAAATAACCAATCACAAAACAACAACTTTCTTATAATTGATACATATAATACAAACGGTGGAATGAACAACAAAGCCAGAGAGAGATTCAATAATATAGGTTCTGAATATATGAGTCATCAATATTTTAGCGGATAAGTTTAAAAGCGTAAAGAATTATACCGAAGGAAAGACAAAAGAATTGGATGAATTGGACGCACCGGAAAGAATTGTAATAAAGATTGATTTTCAATTTAATATTTTTTACAATATTTTTATTCTTCGAATACCATTTAATATTATTTAATATTTGTTTTTAAATACCATTTAACAATACGATTTACTATAAAAAAAAACTTGAGATATGGAGAAAATATATCATCTCTACGTGTTCCCAACGCCTACATCAGTTTCCAAGATTTAAAATAAATATAATTCAATTCATTCTTTAACTTTAATTTGAATCCTTAATTAAATATCATTTAAAATATTAGAATATTTTAATGATTAAAATAACATTTAATAATATCAATTAATTTCATATCAAACAAATTTCTGCTAAATCAATTCAGACGATTAAAGTTTTAAGTTTTCAACACTTTCTATACCTTTTGATAATACAAACATTGATTATAAAATAATTTTATATAAATCCTAACAGAACTTTGTTAATAGATTTATTTTCCAATTTATTGTTAAGTTTCAATATTATTTTTTAATATATTTTTTAAGTTATTAATTTGTTGTTCTAAAATTGATATGTTTTTTTTATTAAGTATTAATATTATTTTTTGATATATTTAAAAAAAATTATGAACAAAACAAATTTAAATTTTCATGTACTATGACATATAATTATGCTAACAATTTAAAAATTAAAATTTATTTTCATCTTTTAATTTTTATGAAAAGACGCTAATCTAAATTTTTGTTTGAAAATATGTAAATACACAATATTTCATTCAAATGATAGAAAACATGCATAGTTAAGTATAAATTGTAATTTGGAATTTAAATATTATATAAAGTTCACACAAAATTTCAATAAATTAGACTAAATTAAGTAGAGAGGAATGAGTTGTACCGAATTTGAAATTATTGTTTTATTCACATTTTTTTAATATTATTCTAATTTATTTTATTTTAGAAATTTATTTTGAATTATCAACATAATTAATTTTTCTTCTCAGTTTTTCCCTCATTTTATGAGGGCATTAAAATAAAATTTAGTCCTATTAAAAATAATAATTTGAATAAAGTTTATAATTATCGGATAAAACCTACACATAAGAAAATATTATTTTTTAAGCCCTGCTCCTGCGCCAACACCTTACCACTTTTAGTAGTCCCATTCACTTTTTCAGGCAGCACAACACCCTTAACATTGAGGTCACTTGCGTCACGACCAACCGTCATGTTGGGGTTGCCTTTTTCAACCTTTGACCATGTGTCAACACCGTAACCAACTTCACCTGTCTTCCTCTTTAGTGTAGAAACCAAATCACCAGGTTTGCTATTGCAGTGGGATGGATCCTGACCAACTGTCAGCTTTGTTTTCAAATGGTTCACAGATTTCCACTCTTGGTAAGCCAAATATGACATGTAGTTCCACGTGCGTTTCCTGTACAGCTCTTGTCCTTCAAGAAGACTGCAAAACAAAGTATAGATTGTCACAATGTTGGATTAAGTGTATGAGAACATCGTGCAAAACAAAATTAACCCTAACTCAAACGATGAAATTAACATAATGTTTCAGACTAACATAACAACATTTCTATAAGTTTAACACCACCCTGAACCTACGGAGGTTTCAAACAAAGTTGATCAATGGCGATCAACTCGCATTCATGTGTTTCTTACGATGAAATTTGTACCACAAATGTACCAACCCCACACCACTGTAACCAACGTTAAACAATACACTCTTACCTTGATTCATAATCTACGATGCTTGGTGATGTCTTGGACTTCGACTCTCCTTCCATTGTTGTTGAGCGGCGACAGCTGTTGTAGATTCACTGTTTAATGTTTTTTGCAGATACGAATTTTGTGTGTGGAAAATGAAAGGATGGCAAAAATATGACAATACTACCTTAGATATTTACATTCAATATGTCTCTACTACTTTATTTAGTTTTAATACCCAATTAGGCGAAGTTTTTTTTTATTGTCAAATTTTAATATTCACTTATTTTTATCATTAACTATTCTTTACAAATTGTTTTTCTAATATTTTAAAATACTAACCTAC